CCATGAGCTCTTTAAAGAAAATTGGCAAAAGTGCTCTCAAGTTGGATCCCAATTTGAAGAAAAGGTTGTGAAGAAACTTGATAATGTTACAGCTGAGGTCAGCACTTTCCTTCATCTCATCGGAAACCCAAAGCAGGAACAACAGGGGCTGTCGCTTCAGTTGTGCGAAGATCTTGAAACTGGAGGCTTGCCTAAAAATGATCTCTTCGGTCGAGGCGAGGGGAAGGACTTTGTAGCATATTCCCACAAGATCATCTGTTTGATAAAGATAATTTAGTCTGAATGTGGATTGCATTGGGTTTCATTCAGGAATCTTCTATTGAAGGAGACACTTTGGAAGATATTGGAGGAAGGTATTTTGATGTTTTGGTCAAAAAAACTTTCTTTGATGTGTTTCAATATTGTGAGAGAACATATTATTATGTGAATTGGCACAATCTATTTCTTCAGAGGAATGTTTCGGATTTGTGGGAGATGTGTTTTATCTTTTAAAATTCCTAAAAATGTTCTTCACTTACTAGTTAAAACTGAAAATCCAGAAGTGTTGAAAATGATCAAAGATGTTAGAAAGCTACACTCTCTTTTTCTTATCAGTGAAAGACATGGTCAATGTTTTACTGAAATACTTACTGAAATTTTTGAAGCATCGAGAAGGATTCATTTGTTGTTCATATGCTCTCCATGTCGGGAAAAGATTTCTGAGGCTATTAAAAATTTGAGACACCTTCCATATTTGAATCTTGCTGAACGTCTAACTCATATGCCAGGATCTCTAAGCAGTTTTTATCATTTGCAGTTCATAATCTACAACAAGTTATTTTGGGGAAAATGTAAAGGATGCTAGCGAGTCTTGTACTGGAGATGCAAGGTAATGGAGACCCCGAACTCGGATCTCAGATGGTATGTCTAAATACATCAGCGTTGCTCTCTGAAGAAAGCTAATGATTCAAGAGAAAACTTGTTGGTTCATGTTTTTAATGGTGGCACCTTTTTCAGTGATTTTCTTGAAAGCTGCCAAAAGTCTGCTTGACAGTAATTATTTTCTGCTTTATAAGAAATTTAAGGGGTAATTTGAAATGGATAGGATGGTTTTCTTGGAGAACCATCTGAGCCCATACTTTTTATTTATATAAAAACAGATGAAAACAAGAGCTAATTTACATAGTACTAGTTCTCTTTCATGTCATGTAAATTGTTTGCCGTATAATTTTTTTGCTATGACATTTATATTATTAGGGTCGTAAATTGAGAACAGGCAATGAGCTTGGAGCTTCTTCTGCTTTTCTGTGGTCTCTAGCTTTAGAGATTGGACATTTTATTAAAATAGATTTTTTGTCATGTTTCTATACCTGTCATTTTATTGTTGAATAATTATTCAATATTTAAGTTATCAAAAAATTGCTTATCATCATTTTTGAATTTGATCATTAACAATTTGATTGCAAATTTGGGTTCAGATCAGTTTTAGAGGGCTGGAACTTTAGCATGCAGCCAATATGCAGCCCTCAATTATTAGAGAGGTTATCTTTTGATAATTGTATATTTGTCCTTGATGGATCTTTAGTCACGTATCTACAGATGATTATATTGTGGGAATATTGTATTGTGGCATATGAAGTTATTTATTTTTTGCTTAATGGTTATAATGATGGGGATGTTATTAGTTGAATTCAAGTTGGATGATTGAAGTAGAGGAATGCATTGGGCCTATTGTCATAGAAAAATACCGTTTAGACTTAAAAAGTAAAATTTTATAAGATGGTGGTGGGACCTATAAGCTTAATGGCACAGAAAATTGGCATGTAAAATAGAAGATTAAAATTAAGTTAAGTTGCTGAGTGGAGAATGCTCAGGTGGATATATGATTTTACATTTAGAGACTGCAAAATGAATATATCCGTGAAAGCATTAGAGTGGTTGTAGTGGGCGGCGAGGGTAGAGAGAGTCGACTGAGATGGTTTTTGGTCACATTAAATGCTAATTACTTGGTGACCGAGTTAGGAGAGTAAATGTTTTAGTTTTAACTTATGTTAAGAAATGTAGTGGTTGACCTTAAAAGACTTGCACATGTCAATCTCTTCCTCCTTTCTGTGACCTCTATCTTCGAACAAATTCGCGCAATTCCGTGGCAAGTAAAGTACTCTCCTTAGTTGTTATCACTATGAATTGCAAGAATCTATGCATTTCTAGCCTTTATTCTCTCTCTTCTCTCTCTTTATGGGTTGGGCGATGTTGATGAAATCTATCATGAAAGACAATATTGCCAACCTTATGGTGGAGCAAACACTTCATTAGATATTAATTCAGTGATTTATGCTATTCTCATCCAGTGGCAATGGAGCAGCCTGGATGACTTGTGCATTTGTTGGGGGTAACGCTACTTTCATTATCACTAATTGAGAATTGATGGTTGGATCTGCCTTGTGAGCTTTGTGGTAACACGATTTGGGGAGGTTTGAAGCAGGATTTAATCTTCATTATCTCAAACAGCGGAGCTGACATCTTTAAATCCTACAAAATCCTAAATGTTGGCTGTCCTCCATAAGTTTAGTACATGTTATTTGCATGTGTTCTCATTTTATTAGGACTCATAAAATGTTATACTAGTAAATATTAAGCTTTAGGTGTCAAATGTCTAAAGCTTTGTAGTTACATCCTCCAATAACTCTCATTGAGAGTTGCTGAAACAAAAAGCGAACAATATTATTTCAAGTATAAAACAACCAGCTTGGGCTTTAATCTATGAGAGTGTGACCTGATCTTTGTGAGCACTCAGTTGTGATAAAATGTGATGTAAAGATTCACTCTTATTTATTACTTGACATTTATAGAAGGATGTACCTTTATGCATGCTTTTCGTTGGTAATATCTTTGTTATGGACAAAATTGAATATATGTCATCTAATTTTAGTAGTGATAGATATAGTGGCGGGGTTTTAACAATGGTTGATCAGGGCATTAAAATAAGTGAATGTTTTAGATATCTGGGTCTATTGTTCAAAATGATATAATGTTAATAGTATATTTCATGTTGGATAGTTGAGGTGCAAGAATGTTTTGAGGGTATTGTTTGATAGAAAAGTTCTTATTTTTTAAAAGGAAAATTTGTTAAGATACTCGTGCGAACTACAATGCTTTAAGGCCAAAATTTTGGCCTGTGTAAGGAAAGCATAAAATTAAGTGTTGTTGAGATGAGGATGCTGCTCGGGTTGATGAGTATTTCTACTCGGTGACAAAGCGAAAAGATTATAACAGTGAAAGGGTTTTTGTAGCTCTAGTTGCCTTGCTGATGATATTTCCTTTATTTCTCAAATTTTGCCTATTATGAGGCATACAAAGTCAAATATCCCTCCTGACCAAGTGCATCTACCTTGTAATGCGGGATCTGAGTTATTAGGTGGAGGGCTGAGGGCTCGTATCATAGCCTGTGACCATTATATATATGTATATATATATATATATATATATATATATATATATATATATATCTATCTGTCCTTTATGGTCCTTCAGAGGTCTACTCTCTTCGCCTGCAATGGGGATGAAGCAGTTTGGATGGCTCCCGTCTTTGAGGGAAACTACTGCTTCCATGAGCTAGAGGCTTGAAATTAGTTGGATGTGCTTTTTGATGGAGCAAAGACAAATCTGGCTTTGATTCTCCACTTTTTTCTATGTTCATGCAACTGAATGAGCCTTAAAATGTATAGTTTTTGTAATTTTAGCTAAGTTGATGTTTGTTTTTGTTTCTTTTTTTTATAGAGAATGTTTGCCTAATTGCATTGGCAGTTATTGTGGTAATTGCTCTTGGACGATCTTTTCAATGAACCAATGTGGTGTTCTCCCCTTTTTTCCTTGAAGGCTTTTATCCGATCAAAGAGAAAGGAAATGGAATTCATGTGTTATTGTATTATGCGAATATTCATGATGTTATAATAACACATCAATAACACATGAATAACACAAAAGAGAATATTCTCCCGTATTACCGTTTCGTTTTTTTTTCTATTGGAAATATTCTGTGTTATTTTGGTGTTTTTGTGTGTTATTCGAGTATAATTGTTCTCAGAATATTCTTAGTGTTATAATAACATGATAACAAATCATTAACACATGAATAACACAATAAAACATTAATAACATGAGAAAGAATATTTTTTGTGTTACCGCGTCTTTTATTTTCTATCGCACGAGGTGTCGTAGCGTGCGCAGTATTGATGTCATATTTTTTCAAGGTAGTAAGACTTAAATGAGAAAGATTTACACATATATACCCAACAATTCTTGTGCATTTACATTTAGAATATCTAGACATCGTGAGGCATTATATATCAAATCCACTCTCTCTCTCTCTCTCTCTCTCTCTCTCTCTCTCTCTCTCTCTCTCTCTCTCTCTCTCTCTCTCTCTCTCTCTCTATGTATATATATAGATGGGGCCTTTACATACATAACCTTTCAATTCCTGTTTATTCGTATATCAGAATTTTATTTAAACAATCATATCTTAATTAAATAGCGTATTTTGTTTCAGATGAAAATCTAATTAAAAAAAATGTTAAAAAAAACATAAGAAAATAAAAAATAGAAGTAATCACAAATGAACCTGTATAATTGGAAAATATGAAAGAATAACGTTATAAATTCATTTGATTTTTTATCACTAATATTTGATTAATTAGAATTTATTTAATTATATATTTATTTGTAATATGATTTTATTTCATATTAATACTCTTGTAAATTTATTATATTTTTATTTCATTGAATTAATTTATTAGTATATAGATGTGTTGTTTAATTGCAAAAATGATTATTTTTAGATTAATTTTTTTAATTTTGTTTTAAAATAATTTGTTGAATGCTTATTTAAAGTAATTTCAAATTTTTTTTTTTTAAATTTGTAAATTCATTTGTTTTATTGTTTATAATATTATATAAAATTTTAGTTCGCTTGGTCTCTGCCGTTTGATCTTCCCGAAAATTTCCATCAGAGGAGTGTAAATGGGTAAACCGGAGATCAAAACCCTATTTCATTTTGAGTGAGGCGTCTGGCAAATATGGCTGACTCCTTCCGCTGATTTCTCTTGATTGAAATGGTCTCTCTCCCTCTCTCTCCCTCTCTCTTTCAAATTTGGCGATTTCATCACACATGTGATTGTGCTGAGGTTTGGTATAATATCCTCTGAATAACCTCTGTACGCAGCGCTGCTTACGTCTTACGTACGCAAATTTTTCTCTGCTTCAAGGGTGCTTTAGCGATCGTAATGCTGTTAAAATTTTTCTTTTCTTCTTGTTGCAATGGTTGTGGAACCGCTTGGACGTCCTGTGCATCTGCAGGCAACTTCTGCATTTCTCTTTGTTATGATGATTAAGAAATTAGAGGGTCATCTTCGGGATGGAGCAGAGTTGAATGTTAGCATTCTGCTCATTATTTTCATTCCTCTTTTTGATCATGCTTGTTAGTTTATTTCTCTTATATGTTGGTATGAATGGTGCTCTCTATCTTCTCCCTGATTTTTTGAAAGGCTTTTTTTAATTCAAGAAGAGGAAATGAAATTAATCTCAGGGGAATTTTTATGCATACTATTAAGTTCATATGTATTTACATATCTGACATCTAAACTTTCATATTTACATTTTCTGACTGCAAATTTTCTGGTATATTTCATCAAGAAAACTAACAGTTGTCCAATTTCTTCCCCCCTCCCTCACTCACTCACTCTCTCTCTCTCTCTCTCTCTCTCTCTATCAATCTATCTGCTTGGAGGGCTTGTGCCTTTAAGAGTAACTGCTGCTTCTATGAGTTACTGGTTCGTAGTAGTGGATTTTGATAGAACAGTGGCGAATCTAAGGGGCTGTTTGGTTGCAAGTTGGATTTTGTGCATTTTCGTGGGGAGTAAAGAAGTACTCCCCTTAATTGTCATCACTATGAATTGCTAGAATTTATGCATTTCTAGCCTTTATTTTCTCTCTTCTCTCTCTTTTTGTCTCTCTTTTTATGGACGGTGCGATAATGATGAAATCTATCATGAAAATCAATATTGCCAACTTTATGGCGGAGCAAAAACTTCATTAGATGTTGATTCAGCGATGTGTGCTATTCTCATCCAGTGGCAATTGAGTAGCTTGGATGGCCGGTGCATCTGTTGTGGGTAACCACTACTTTCATTGTCACTAATTGGGAATTGATGATTGGATCTGCATGTTGATTGAATGAAAACGAATCTGAGCCCATTTATTTTCTAATTGAGGATGGGTGGCATATATGGTGTTCTCTCTCTCTCTCTCTCATGAGGGCAACCATTGCTTCCACTGCTTGTAATTATTTGAGGATGGGTGGCATTTATTTTCTAATTTGAGGGCAACCACTGCTTCCCATGAGCAAGCTGAAGTGATTTGGATGTTGGAGATATCGGCTGTTTGACAAAATTAAAGATAAGTTTTTAGATATGCAATCGAGTAGTATAGATGTAAATCTTCTTAAATAGGTTTGAAGCCTTTTTCCTTTGCTTTCGTTCCATTACATAATAATCTTACAATTTATTTTAGGTACAAAATATTCTGTATATTCTATTTTAACTAACTTAATAATGCATATTCATAATCTAAATATTCAGCTTACAGGAAAATAAATCAGAATAAAGAAATTGAAAATAATTAACTAAAGAAGCTCCTAATTATTAAAAACTCCGAATTTAGCTGCCTTATTTCTGTCATTTCTGATTGAATCGGGACTGCAGTTCTAGCACTTTTATATGATTGTAAGTTTCTTTGTGATTTTCAAGAAATGAATGGAATAAAGCTTTTACAAAAAATATGCGGTATAGTCGTGATTTCATCACAAGAGCTCTCTGAATTTCATTAATTTCTATCACGTTGACGATGCGATGAAGATTGAATTGAACTTTGGAGTTCTTGTCCCTTATTATGATGCTTCATGGATCTCTAATTTTCCTAAGCAATGGTCATGGTGTAATGATGCTTTATGAAGCCGAGTGCGAGTAGCTTATCGAACACTTGGTTTGTTTTCAGCCCTAGGTAACTAAGGCAGCCGTGCATCTTTGGTACAGAAGTGGTTAGTTGGTTCTGTTTGAAAGTTGAATAAAAGTTTAATCAGCCTCCAATTTCCCAATTTCTTTCTCTACTTTTTTATATCTTCAGGCTGCCAATAGGGGCCCGTCATGAGCTTTGTGATAACACGATTCGGGCGGCTTTTAAGCAGGATTTGATCTGCGTCTTTTGAAACAGCGAAGGTGACGTCTTTAAGTCCTACTGAATACAAAATCTTGTTTATGGTCTATTTTGTCCTAAACATGACGGAAGCATCTTATCAAAAGTATCACTAATGTCTACTTTTATAAAGTTGAGTACACCTTTACATGCTTGTGTTCTCTTTTTATCAGTACTCTAAAATATTATACTAGTAAATTTTAAACTTTAGGTGTCAAATGTGTAAATGCGTAAAAATTGTGTGGTTTGTAGGATGGGTTAGATCCATGTTTACATTTCGGATTCAGATCTGTTTTAATCGGTGTTAACTTTTTTTTTAAATTATTTTATTAAAGGGCTTTAAATTTTAAAAACAGTTTGCCAATACTTGAGGTTAGGGGTCATTAGTTGTAATTATGGATGTCGAAAAAACTCATCTTTCACGAGCAACTTGTTTTCATTTCTTTTTTTATCTGGTGCTCTAATTATATATTTATCTTTGATGAGTAGTAATTTTTAAAAATTTAATTGACTACAGGGCTACAAAGATCTATAATCATCTAAAAATATTAACAAAGAAAATAGAATAAAAATTATTAAATTAGATTCAAATGATGCCTTAAATCTTGTTTCAATCCTTAACATCTTATGACTACGTGATTAGGTTTGTCAAAATGTCTTTTTATTTGTGAATGACTTATGTTCGGCTCGCTAAGCAAACGATCCGAACACGAACACACTTTTTGAGCTCGAAATATAAACGTGCTCTTTTACACCCCTACGGCCTGGTGCAAGGAAAACCCTAGCTAATTTCTTTTGTGAGAGAATAGCTTGACCTTGACTCTGCTGCTCGCCTTCTCCAAGGAAGTTGATTACTTCATTTGCGTGCTCTCTCTCTCTCTTCATTTGGAGCCTCTAACTGGGAAACTACAATGAAATCCATCAAGGTAGGTGATCTTAATCCGATTTATGAATGCATCCGGATGGTGCTTCAAAGATCTTAATCATAAGGCTCTCTGTTAATTGTTGGTGTAGAGAAAGAGGGAGGATCTGCTTGTTGATGGAGATGAGGTTAATCAAGACCCTTCGACACAGCATTTTCCTTGCTCATCATTTCTAAACGGGATGCTTATTGCTTGCTTTAAAATAATGGATCCTAAGATATTTTTCAAATTTAAAAAGTCAATTGTGTTTAGAGCTGTCAAAATGGCTCGTTGTTCGCGAACAGCTTGTGTTCGACTCGTTAAGAAGTTCGTGTTCGTTCGTGTTCGGCTCGATTTCGTTCGATAAGTTAACGGGCCAAACACGAACTAAGATGTCTTCGTTCTTGTTCGGCTCGGTTTGGCTGGAAATAGTACTCATCAAGTTTATATATGTATTTCGTTTGACAAATTAACGAGCCGAACACGAAGGTGGTGGCCTTGTATCACCATGATATTTGTTATATATATTTTTTTATAATCCCATATTTATTGAATGGTTTATTCTTTCCGCCATCAATATCTTATTAACAACTCCATGGAATTCCATGGTGAATAATGAATTTCTCACCCTAATTTTCATCATTATGAATCACTCGAGCATCTCTGCACCTCTCACTTTCATCTTCTCTCTCTTTATGTATTGGGCGTTGATCATGAAAGAGAATTTTGCCAACCTATGGTAAAGCAGAACTTCATCAGATGTTGATTCAGTGATGCATTTTATTATCATCCAATGGCAATGGAGTAGCTTGGATGCCTGTGCATCTGTTGTGGGTAACTGCCACTTCCATTATCACTGATTGAGAGTTGGTGGTTGGATCTGCCTGTTGATTAAATGAAAGCGATTCTGAGCCCATTTCCATTCACCACTTTTGTATAAAACATATTTTGATATCTTAAACAAGTTTAGTTAGAGTTGTTGGATGGCTTTAATTGATAGGGAAGGATCCAAACCAGTTTCCTACTTAGGTTTGAAGAATTTACAGGAAATGAAATGAAATTTTGTTATTTTTTAGATTGATTTTATTTTTTTAGCTTTTGATCTAATTGATCTGTTTATCACCCTTGGTTAGTATTTGCAGCTCAAACAGTCGACACGCCTTGGGATTGCATCTCCACGAGCTTTTTTATCATCACTTGCATTTCCCCTATGCCTTCAAAGTCATCGTTCTTTCGACTTTCAACAGAAGAAAATATGTTCTCCATGGTAGCAATCCTTTCTTCCATCCTTAATTGAATTTTCCCCACCTCTTATTCCAGCACATCAACTTTCTTTTCTACCATCCCACCAAGATCCATGCTCTAATACCAATTTGATATGCCTCGACACCAATATCAGCAACAAACCATGACGAAATCACAATAGAGAGGTGAAAAAAATACGCATAAGGGCTTCTCTTAAGAAAACAAATAAAAACAGCAGGATACAATGGTGATCTACTTTTCGTGAGGTAAGTCGGTTGTCTCACAACCCTAAATGTCGCTAGGAATACCACTAAACGAAAGAGCATAACAGCCAACAACAAACATGCATAAAGGAACAAGTCCAGGTTAGTCTTTTAAATAGAATTCTTTATCGGTAATTTAAAAACTTTCATTCGATGCCTTCCCTCCGAACTCATTTAATTTCTCTTTCTTGAATATGTAATTAAAGCCCTCGTGGATCCCCTTTGCTCATTTCCTTTTTCTGTTGCAGCACCCTGCTCCTTTACTTTTTTTGTCGCCTGCTCTGCTCTTCTTGTGGGCGCGTCTGTCCTCCACACCGGTTGGGGGGATGCTTGACTGGTCCCTTCTGGACCGGTTCACATCCAGGTGGCTAACACCTTCCTGGGCCATTTTTGTGTACTTTCATGACTTCGCCCTTCATTTTTGGTTTGAGGGTCCGTAGAAGGCATGGAAGGGGGACAGTTAGGGGCTGTTTGGGAGCAGGTTTTAATCAGGGTTTTACCTAAATCCTGCCAAACAGCAAAAATAACATATTTAAATCCTCCATGTTCTTAATCCCATTTCTATCCATTTTGCCTAAAATTCAGAATTTAGTAAATTCTGTTGGAAAATGGATTTACATGATTTAGAGAAGTTGAAGAGCATGAAGGTGGTGGGCGGTAGGGGAGAAACCCGAATGTCACCTTTCTCATTGGTTTGGAGTAAGAGTGGAGCGGATGGATGAAAATTTGGGAGTTTGGGAGGTTTTTTTACGTAGCGTTCCTGTATTGTTTTCCCAGCTAGCTTTAATCACAGATTGTATTGTGAGGATTCCATAATAAATGCAAGGGTTTTGGGCAAAACTTGGGGAGGGGTGGGATGTAGTCGTTGGTTTTGGGCAGGAGAGGTAGTGGGGAAGATGGGACTGTGGCTTTAATTTGATTTTATTTATATTAGTTTTCATTAATTTAATTGATTAATTACTAAATTAGTTTTCTCATACAACTTTAGCTGGCAGTGTCAGTTGAGCTTCTCTCCTTTTCTTGTTGTCTACTTTCATTTACCTCTGTATGGCACTCTCTGATGTTAAATGCTTCATCGAAGGATTGGTTTATAGGGCGGTCCACAGGACGTAAGAATTGTTTGGTATGGTATGTAAATGCTCCTGTATGACACTGATGTTAAATTTGAAAGTTTAGTTGTTAGACATGTAAATACACAAGAATTATGTGGCATGTAAATTCTCCTTAACATTTATGTTGCACTCGTTTCAAAACATTTTAAACCAAATTTAAGTAAGTATTTTCATGCAATTTTCTCTTTATTTGCTACCGGTGTGTGGTGAAATAATGAATCTTAAGATGGTTCACTTTCTTTTCTGCTATTCTAGACGAGTAATGCTACAACTAGTGTATTTCCAACAATAAACTCCTGGAATTTCTTTTGCAAGCTAAGGAAACTCAAGTTAAAGAAAACATCTAATTGCATTTTCTAGAATTGTAATTACTCATTTTATTTGTCTTTGAATTCCGTGGATCTCTCTCTATTGCTCTATCACTCTCTTTCATTGATTAGGTGATGATGATTGAGTTCTACATTGGATGTGGTCTTGTTCCCGTCTATGGTGGTTTTCTCTTGCCATGACAACGGAGTAGTTTGGATGACCTATGCTTTGCAGGTAACTGCTGTGTCCGTGTGTCATTGGTAGTGAAGATTTAAATTTATCCGCTTTTTGATGGCACTAAGGCAAATTTGAGCTATGGCTCCCGTTTCCTTTAGATGTCTCTATTTCTTCAAGTAACCGATACAGGAGTTGATGTATATAGATGTTTGCCTTTTATCAGAAGTTTTAATCATTCTTAGCTCCCTTTAGTTCTTTGCTTTGTGTGATCTGTTTTCTAATGCCACATCATAATGGAGACATGACTCATGTTTTGTTTTAATGCATCAATGGACTTCACTCTTAGAAATGAAAAACTCTTTAGCTATGGGTTTATCGCAGTTCTTTTTATGGCTTTCTGCACTGTTGTGTGAGATGTTTCAATGGTGTGTGGTGTTGTTTGACTTTTTCTCTATTTGGTGTCTCGTAGTTGATGCAGCTCCCAACTTCGGTCTTTGTGGCCTACGAATAATAATATAGGTCCTCGCTATGACCTCTTTGACCAGCCTGCTTTTTATGAAATACTAGAATTTGCGAGTTGGAAGATGGTTGTTAGCTAACTTTTCAAATAATAATAATAATTATTATTATATTTACAGCAGTTGTTGAGAATTTCACAACAATTTTACAGTTATAGTCGATAATCTCTTCCCGTGGATGTTGGTGGATCTGTGCCGAACAACGGAAATTGCACCGTATTAGCATTTTAATATGTTGTGTGATTTTGTTTTCTCCATTATTTTGCACAATAAGATTTGGGCTCGAAGCAGTTTCAAAGCTTGAACTTCAATAGGCGGTACTCAAATACTAGAGGTTATCCCTCTCATGAAATTTGATCCAATATGGATTTTTGGGTATATTTCTACAGATGAACATCTATCCAGTGACATACGATTGGATCATAAATTGGTTCATTATATATTGTGTAATTCCATGAAAGTGATGCTACACGTATTGCATACCAACCAAATTTAATGAATCCTTCTCTCTCTCTCTCTCTCTGTGTGTGTGTGTGTGTGTGTGTGTGTCTCCTGCTCGCCTGTCATTTGACGATGATTGAGTTTTACTTCTATGAATTTGTTGAATCTTTAGTTGCATCTCCCCTGCGTCATTGGATGAAGTAGGGTGGCTGATTTTTAAATAGCAAATTTTGGGTGGTCTGTACGTAATTGTCCCTTAAATTTAACTTGAAAGGTGATCTTGTTTCAGTCCATGGTGCTTCAGAGATACCTGATTTTCTCGTGCTGTGGCAGAGCAGCTTGGACGACCAATGTTTTTGCTGGTAAATGTTGAGTCAATACATCATTTATAGAGAACGTGTGGATATTTCATTGAGTATCCTTTACATCCTGTGCATCTGTGATATAGAAACGATGGTTGCTTCTGCTTGCAGATTGAACAAAGGTGAATCTGAGTCTCCAATTACACATTTTATTTTCTTCCATTTTTTTTAAGATCTTCAGGTAACAAAGGGAGGCTCTTCTGGTATTGGATTTGAGCTGGATTTAACCTAAATCCTGGGAAACAGCTGAAAAATCAACTTTAAACCGCAAAAGCTAAAGTCCCACTTCTCTTTTATTTTGTCTTTGAATCTCTGATTCGGTATGCCCGGTCGGTCAACATATTTATGTTATATGCCATACTTTATGTTGTGGCTACAAGATGGAGCTCTGAACTTCAATGTCGTGTAAGTAGATCTTTAAAGAGGAATTAGACAATGCTACTCTTTGAAGAAAACTATTTGATAAGTTTTTCTTACCATTATTATGTAACAGTTTGAACTGTAATCCATTGAGATTTTTTGTTTTCGTTTATTCCTGAATTTATTTAACTTCCAATCAATCTGCTTTAAAGTATGTTGTTTTCTGCATTGTTTAGCACAACATGATTTGGGTTCAAATCAATTGCAAAGCTTGACCTTCAATCAGCGATTCTCAAATACCAGAGGTTATCCCTCTCATAGTGGTAATTTTGTCTAATTTGGATTTTTGGGTATATTTCTACAGAGTCCAGGCAAGTAATGCTAGACGTAATGCATTTCCAACCAAAACGGTTTTTGTAATTTCTGATGTAAGCTACAAAAATTGAGCTGAAACATTAAAGCAAGATTTTTGTTGAGAAATTAGGGCGAAGAGAAACAAGAATTGACACAAATCCAGAAGAACGCACAGAGATTTACGAGGTTCGGCAAAGATGCCTCATCCTCGCGAGCAGAGCTGCAGCTTTCTTTTCAATATTCAGAAAAGAGTGCAGAATACAAGATTCAACTCACCTAGGGTTACAGACAGGATATACATATATATATATATATATATGTAATTACTTAAGTTACTATTGTATTAACTCTCGGGGTGTTACCCTTGCACCCCCAACCCACATATTAAAACTCCCTCAATTGGACAGATCATTCCGCTCCACTCCGCTAATGGGCGCCGCTCCGCTCCAACATCTGTCCCATTTATGGTATAGACATACCTAACAAATATCCACCTTGGCGAATATCTAACCCCTTAGGAGAAATATATGGAGTTTCTCATGCACCAGTGTGGGTTGGGTCACTACGCTTCCACTCTGCCCTTGCTCCCCCCTAACCCACTAAATTCCAAGAGGCACATCTTCAATTCCAAGAGTAATTTCTTCATTTCAAGAGACTCCAAATTTTGGTGTTATGAGCCATACCTAACAATTTTCGTACATACCACTCAATTTCAATGAATTTACATTATTAACAACTAAACTACAAGTTTTACATTCATGCCACATTTTTATCTATATGTGCGAAGGTGTATTTTACTTTTTAATATATAAATAGTGCATTTTTTATGTGATAGAAAAGATTTGAGTGATACAAATGTAAGTCAAATATGTGAATTGGGTAGTATGTATCTAAATATGCCCAATAAATTAATTTTATGTTGCATCTCCAAGAACAGTAGTGAATTTCTGAAACTTCTGCCTTCAATGAATCCCTCCCTTCCTCTCCCGCTGTGTGTGTGGGTCCAGCTCCCCTCTCTGTGATTGGGAAATGATTAAATTTTACTTCTATGAATTCCATGAATCTTTAGTTGCATCTCCCCTTTGATTGGATTAACAAGGGTAGTAGATTTGTAAATAACAATTTTTGGGTGGTCTTTATGTAATTGCCTTTAAATTTTAATTGAAAATGCAGATATAACAAATTTAAATCTGAGCGTCCAATTTCACACTTTGAAGAAAACTATTTGAGAAACATACCACTCAATTCTTTTGCTTTTTTGGTATCTAACACTTATACTTTAATTTTTACATATGTGCCCCATTCCCACTAAAGATTATGCTGAAGTGCAATGCCGTGTATTTCAATTTGTAAAAGTTAAAATAGTGGTATTTTTTATTTAACATAAAAGATTTGGGCGTTATAAATGTAATAATCAAAGTCTAGGAGTTTGATATGTAAATATAAGAATTGGGTGGTATGTATGTAAATGCCCCATTTATCTTTGATCCCCTCCTACAACCAAGTGCTGCGTTAATGTGATGTCTGCATTTTATTTGAACTGAGGCAAATACAAGCCTACCATTCTGCATTTTTTTCCTCTTTTATGATTTTAAGCATCTAATTGGGGCCATAAAGTGGAAGAATATTTGTAATTTTGTAGAATTTGTGATCTGTCTTAGTTTGTTGTGTGTGTGTGTGTTTTATTTTACCTGGATTCAGATGTTCCAGTATGATCTCTCTCTCTCTCTCTCTCTCTGTATATATATATATAGATATATATATATTTATCTATATTCACCTTTATATTTTTGTTTCTTTATGTATTGGGCGATGATGATGAAATCTATTGTGAAAGAGAATCTTGCCAACCTTATGGCCGAGCAGAACTGCATTAGATGCCGATTCAGTGATGCATGTTATTCTCATCCAGTGGCAATGGAGTCGCTTGGATGGCCTGTGCATCTGTTGTGGCTAACCGCCACTTCCATTGTCACCGATTGAGCGTTGATGGTTGGATGGCCTGTTGATTGAATGAAAACGATTCTGAGTCCATTTCCATTCCCACTTTAAAGTAAAACATATTTTGATATCTTGAACCAGTTTAGTTAGGGTTGGTGGATGAGCTTGAATTAGCAGGGAACGATCCATATCCGTTTCCTACTTAAGTTGGAAGAATTTACAGAATTTGAAATTAAATTTTGTTATTTTTCTGAATGATTATACTTTTTAGCTTTTGATCTGATTTTTTCAACCTTTTTTATGTTGATTAGCGTATATCCTTTTCATTGAAGTACAATTACAGGGTTCCTGCACTATTAAATAATTATTCAATATTATTTTATCTATAATTTATTTATCATCATTTTTAAATTTGATCGTTAACAAATTGAAAGAAGATTTGGGTTCCAAATCCTAAGAAGATTTGGGCTTGAATTTTAGTATGCAGCTCTTGATTATCAGAGGTTATCTTTTAATAGTTGTATGTTTGTCCAAAATGGGCTTTTAGTCATGTTTCTGCAAATGAACACATTGCTATTGAATAATTATTCAATATTTATTTTATGAAAAATTTATTTATCATCATATTTTAATTTTATCGCTAACAATTTGATTGCAGATATGGGATCAGATCAGTTTTATAGGACTTGAACTTTAGCATGCAGCTCCCGATTATTAGAGGTTATCTTTTAATAGCTGTATATTTTTCCATAATGGATTTTTTGTCATTATGTGGCATATGATGTTATTTATTTTGTGCTTAAATGTTGATATAGATGGGAATGTTATGAGTAGAATTCAAGTTGGATTGTTGAAGTGGTGGAATACATCGGGCCTATGCTGGATAATAGCTTAGACCTAAAAGTAAAATTTTATAAGTTGATGTTTAGACCTGCAATGCTTTATGACCACATATTGCTGCTTGTAAAATATAAACATAAAATTAGGTTGAGTGTTGCTGAGAGGAGAATGCTCAGGTGCCACCAGTGTGATTTTACATTAAGAAACAAAATGCAAAATGAAAATATCCATGAAAGGGTTAGAGTAGCTGCTGAGGCAGGCACGATTAGAGAGGGTTGCCTTGGATGATTTGTTCTCATTAAATGTTGACCATTTGGTGATTCAGTTAGGGCAGAAATTATTTTAGATTTGATTCATCTTAAGAAAAGTAGAGGTAGGCCTAAAAAAACTTGGGCATGTTGTATGAAAATTATTTTAATTTATTAGAATTAAATGAAAATATGAGACTCAATAGGACACAATGGAGAAAAAGGATTCATGCCACTTCATGAGGTAAAGTCTTGTTGCTATTGTTGTATTTATATAATTAAATTTCAGCTACACTCTTCTCGAAACTTTTTCTCAAACCAAATTTTAGTAAGATTTTTTCAAGAAAATTTCTCTTAAATCTTCTATTGGTATAAAGTGACATGATAAAACCTTCAAATGGTTCAATTTTTATTTTGGCATTTCCAAACTAGTAATAATACAACTAATGCATTTCCTACCAAAAAAAAATTCTTGGAATTTCCCTTGCAAACTATAACACTTTAATTTAAATAAAGCTACTTGAATCTCCAATAATAGTGATAAATTAATCAATTTTTTTCTGTTAATTCCTTGTTTGTGTAGGGCTGTTAAAATGGCTCATTGTTCGCGAACAACTCGTGTTTGGCTCTTTATGTTGCTCGTGCTCGATTCGTTCGATAAGCAACCGAGCTGAACACGAACAAAAATTTTTTCGTTTATGTTTGGCTTGAAATAATTAAATTGTTCTCGATATATAAACGAGCCGAAGATGAACATTGATATTTTTTATTGAGCTAAACACAAACTGAGCCTGGGGTTGCTCAAGCTCGGCGCATTTACTGTGTGTGTGTGTGTGAGAGAGAGAGAGAGAGAGAGAGAGGAAGGGAGAGAGATTAGTCAATGATGATTAAATTCTTCATGGTTCTTCTGAAATCTCTGCTCGTCTTATACAATGGCGATGGATTAGTTTGCATGGCCTATGCCTACTTAGGTGTGCACGTGTCATTGGTGGAAATCATGTGGATATGTTAGTTTAAATAAGGCGAATTTTAGTTAAAGACTTCCCTTGTCCTTTCTACTTTAATACAAGTTTGAAGAAAAAGTGACTTGCGCTTATTCTCTTTTTCATGACCAATGATATTTATGGTGCTTTTTAGACATATTAATGCCTCTTTGCTCTAGGAAGACTTCTGCAATTTTGTGCAATCTTTCAATCTCTGTCACGTTGACTGAAAAATGGGTGGATCTTCTTCGTGATGGAACAGAGGTAAATCTTTGCATGACTTCGCTTTGTCTGTCCATGCTTTTTAATGCTTGCTTAGGTTAACTGTGTTGAGCATTTATTATGGAATTTCTGTTCCGTTATGTTTTTGAATGTGGGCCCGTATTTTCTGCCCTATTTTTGTAGATTGAATGAAAATGAATATGAGCCCATTTCCATTCACTACTTTTCTATAGAACATATTTTAATATCTTAAACCAGTTTAGTTACGATTTATGGATGAGCTTTAGGATCTGTTTGGGGCAGCTGCAGCTTATTCAGCTTATGCATATAAGCAGCTTATCTTGATAAATTGACTGACTATTTGGGGTTGTTATTTGAAAATAATAATGATCATTCTGTCATTCTTAAGTAATGTTGTTTGTAGAAGCAAACAATTAAATTCTTTTTTTTAGTGTATCTATGTTTTGATTGTTTTGATTTTTAATCCCTAAAAGCCTGATTAGAATATGTTCATCATGCTTAATTAACTAGACACAGTTTTTCATTTTAATATATAAAAGTGGAGATCAAAGATACAATTTTAATCAATTCTATTTATTATAATTAACTTATATTTAATTAAATTAAGAAGAACTTAAATTTAAAAATATTCCGATTAATTTACATCTAGTAAAGAGTTTATAATTAAGCAAATTAAAGCATAAATTTTAACTTCTCTCAAATAGCCCTTGCTACCTTCTCCTTCCCCCTCATCCCCCGAAATCTTCACCAACTGTAAATTGAAGCTAGCTGGGAAGTTTGCCATGTAATCTAAGTGTCCGAGGAAGGCGATCTCCATTACTCTTATCTTTCTCCACCTTCTCTGCTTCTACTGTAGTGTTTCCTCGCATCCCCTTTTGTACTGTTCGATCAACGTGAATCCTGTAAATCTGTCACAAGCTTCATCTCCAAATGCCCTCGCTTATTCAACCGTCCCTTGCTGCTCAACACGACATCTCTATCTAGCGAGTGCAGTCGAGCCCTCACAAGAGCAACAGAGAGAGGGGATCGATTGTTGTTCGGGAGGGCAACAAAGAGAGATCGATTGCAGGAAGAAACAAAGGTTTCGAGAGGCACGTATGACGGAGGGCAGCAGAGTAATTGAGAGCAAATCGCGATGAGGGAACGCGGCCCACGAAAACGACAGTTTTTAAAACGCTTATAAAACGTGGATAACAAACACTAGGGTGACCCCGTGCGAGGAAAACCCTAGCTCATTTGTTTTGTGTGAGAATAGCTCCACCCCGACTCTGCTGCTCGCCTTCTCCAAGGCTTTTCTGCATACGCTGTCCAACAACAACAACACCAACATCAATAACAAAGTCTTAATCCCACTACGTGGGGTTGGCTACATGAAGCCTTATTCTCCTTTGCGTTCTATTTAATGTCATATTTTTATTTAGTTCTAATAAATTAAGATCATTTTTTATACAATATGCCCAAGTCTTCCTAGGTCTACCTCAACTTTTATTTTCATTTATCTAATCACTTCAACAACAACAACAACAACAAAGCCTTAATCCCACTACGTGGGGTCGGCTGGATGAAACCTTTTTCTCCATTGCGTTCTATTTAGTGTCATATTTTCATTTAGTTCTAGTAAATTAAGATCATTTTTAATAAAATAAGCCCAAGTCTTCCTAGGTCTACCTTTGCCTTTCTTAGCACAAGTCGAATCTAAAACATCTACTCTCCTAATCGGATCATCAGATGGTCGACATTTAATGTGACCAAACCATCTAAGACGACTTTCTCTAATTTTGTCTGTCACAGGAGCTACGCCATCCCTATCACGAATATATTCATTCCGCATTTTCTCTAAGTGTAAAGCCACTCATCCACCTAATCATTCTCATCTCAGCAACACTTAAAGTAGTATTATGCTTCTCTTTTAAAGGCCAACATTCAGCGCCATAGAGCATTGTAGGTCTCACCTCCGTCTTATAAAATTTTCCTTTCAGTCTTAGGGGTACTTTTATATCACACAAAAGGTCCGAAGCATTCCTCCACTTCAACCAATCAACTTGAATTCCACTATTAACATCCCTATCTATACACCATCGCTTTGAACAACGGAGTCAAGATATCTAAATCGTTCACACCTTTTAATAATTTGATCACCCAAAGCCACACTTCTGTCACTAGAGCTATTACTACTAAAATTACATTCAATGTATTCAGTTTTAGTTCTACTTAAACGAAGGCCTTTAGACTCTAATGTAGAGTAGATGTCCAGTAAGACCATCCATAACTAAAGCAAAAAGATATGGGCTTAAAGCCAATTCCTGATGTAATCCGATAGAATTTTGTCAATCTTCCTTCAGTTTGAACACAAGTAACAACTCTAGTATACATATCTTTAATGACTTGAATATAAGTCATATCAACACATTTCTTCTCGAGAACTCTACAAAGGATATCTTTTGGAACATTTTCGTAAGATTTTTCTAAATCAATAAAAATCAGATGTAGATTCTTCTTATTATCTATGAAATTCTCCATCAAACCTCTCAATAAATGTATAGCTTCCATAGTAGACCTCCCCGACATAAATCCAAATTGATTATGAGAAATTTTTGTGATGCGTCTTAATCTATGCTCAATTACCCTCTCCCATAATTTTAAAGTATTACACATGAACTTAATTCCTCTATAATTTGCACACTCTTGTGCATCCGCTTTATTATTAAAAATGGGGACGAAAATACTCTTCTTCCACTCAGGCATCTTTTTAGTTTTTAAAATAATATTAAAGAGTTTAGTAAGCTAAGAAACTCCCAAATCTCCCACATATTTCCACACTTCAATTGGGATATCATCAGGTCCTACAGGCTTTCCACCCTTGGTTTTCTTTAAAACCTCCTCAACTTCTATTTTGCTAATGCGACGGTAAAAATGAAACGTTTTGATATTATTCATAATATTAAGATCACTAAGGTCGATCGTATTTTCAGAAATTTAATTAAAAAGATTATCAAAGTAACTCACCCACATATGTTGAATATCTTTTTCTAAGAAAAGTATTTTTTTATTTTTATTTTTAATACACTTTACTTGAGTTAAATCTTTTATTCTTTTCTCTTTGTTTGGCTAGTTTATACATATATTTTTTACCCTCCTTAGTATCTAATCTATTATAAAGATCATTAAAAACAGAATTTTAGCGTCACAGATTGTTCTTTTAGGCTCCCTACGAGTCGTTTGATATTTTTCCCAGTTCTTTAAGCTTTTACATTTAAACCAATTTTTATAACATAACTTCTTATATTTTTTCTTTTCTTGGACATTATTATTCCACCACCAATTATTTTTATTTGTAAATATTTTTTTCTTTTGGTTCTCCAAGCACATCTTTTGCTACTTGTTTAATAGTGTTTGTTACTTTATCCCACATAACATTTGCTTTTTCATGAAATTTTGAGTCATAGTAGTTTTTATTTTGAAATCTTGAGTTTTACTCATAAAAATAATTTTATTTGGTCTTTTAAGTTTCTCCATCTAATTTTACGATATTGAGTCATAGTAGTTTTTATTTTACAACTCTTAATTTTAAAATTTAAAACTAATAAACGATGTTGGGTACTTAATTTTTCACTTGGAATAACCTTGCAATCTTTTAAATCGCGACGATCTCTTCTTCTCATAAGAAAATAATCAATTTGTGTTTTATTAGATCCACTCTTATAAGTAACAAGATGTTTTTCTCTTTGCTTTATTAAAATATGAGTAATAACAAAATCATACGTTATAGCAAAATCTAAAATAGCGCTACCTTCTTTATTAGTTACTCCAAAACCGTAGCCACCATGAATATTTTTGAAATCTTCTACCACTCTAACGACATGTCTATTTTAAACTCCTCAAATAAAATTTTTTTCTTAAAGATGTATCATTTGTTTTAAGTTTTGTAAGTCTTTTCAAAATTTATCTTTAGACCCTGTATCTAAAATTACTTTAGGAGCATAAACACTTATATTATTAAAAATCTTTGTATCAATAATAATCTTAAGGGCTATAATTTTTTCACCAATTTTATTAATTTTTACAACGTTATCTTTCAGACTCTTATCTATAGTTACACCTACACTATTTCGAGTGCGACTATTACTAGAGTACTAAAGTTTAAATCCTAAATTTTCAATCTCCTTAGTCTTTTCTTGAACCCACTTAGTTTCTTGAATACATAAGATATTAATTTTTCTATGAATCATAATATCAACTAATTTCTTTAATTTACCATTGAGAGTGCCTATATTCCAAGATCCTATCATAATATTAGTTTCATTAGTTTCATGGACTAACTTCTTTTCCCGCATTCGCCCATAATGTGAGAACCTTTGCTTATTTAACACTATAGCCGGGCACCGATGTATCGGCCCTTTCACACTTTTCACTGTATTCAGGTTATACAGCTAGTCGCTACCACTTACACAATGATCAAAAGGATTCATGTCATGATTTTTTTTTCGCATCCGGGCTTGGGACCGGTAACGACCGTGTTCAAGGATTCATTTCTTTATGCATACGCTGTCCGCATGAAGTAATTTAAACTACAATGAAATCCATCAGGGAAGGCGATCTTAATCTGGGTTTATGAATGCATCCAGCGGTGCTTCGGATAACTTTTTCATAAGGCTTTCTCTGTTAGTCGCTGGTGTATAGAAAGCGGGAGGATCTGCTTGTTGACGGAGATGAGGTTAATCAGGGCCCTCCGACACGCATTTTCCTTGCTCATCATTTCTAAACGGGGTGCTTATTGCTTGCTTTAAAATAATGCATCCTACGATATTTTTCAATATTTTAAAGTCAATTGTGTTAATATTTGCCCAAAAGATCATTCATCCTGATGTTGTTTATCATTTTGGGGCTATTTAGGATTCATGCAGGATTTTAGCTAAATCCTGCCTGCCTCCATAAATCCTGAGCTGCAAATCCCAAAATGACGTGGATTCACGAATAAATCCGGATTTATTAAGTCCTGCGAATCGGCGGATACCTTTCTCTTTGTTTTATGGTAGGGCGGAGCGGAAGGATGAGAAAGATGGGAGTTCTGGAGGACTCTGTAAGCCACGACCCGGTCGTTTTCTTCCCAGTTAGCTCTAACGGCGACTGTATGGTGAAGGTTCGTTTATGAAGGCGATGGCATTCTGTCCTCCTTTCTTTTAACTAAACGTTTACAATTTATAGTCATCTCCTCCTACGGGCTTTAATGTAGGTTTTATAGTTCTTTTTGTGCTTTTGAATGCATGATTTGAATGAGAAAAAAGTAATACTTTTGCATTGAACTTTATGAATTTTAACTCTCATTGAAAGTTGCTCAAACAAAAAGGGAAATATATGATTTCAGTAAAACAACTGTTTTGGGTTTTAATATATGAGGGCGTTACTTGATCCTTGTGAGCACTCATTTGTGATAAAACATGTGATCTAAAGATCTACTCTGATCTATTACTTGACATTTATAGGATGTGCCTTTGGGCATGTTTTTAGCTGGTGATATCTTTGTTATGGACAAAACTGAATACATGTTATCTAATTTTAGTAGTGATAGATCTAGCGGGGGGTTGTAACAATGGTTGATCAAGGCATTAAAAGAAGTGAACGTTTTAAATATCTCGGGTCTATTGTTAAAAGTGATATAATGTTTAATAGTAGAATTCAAGTTGGAAAAGGTGCAAGAATGTTTCGAGTGTATTGTGTGATAGAAAAGTTCTGCTTATGTTTAAACGAAAAATTTGTTAAGATATTTGTGCAACCTACAATGCTTTATGGTGCAAAATTTTGGCCTGTGGAAGAGAAGCATAAAATTAAGTGTTTTTGAGATGAGAATGCTTGATCAGTTGGATGAGTTTCTACACTTGGTGACAAAGCGAAATGATTATAACCGTGAATGGATTTATGTAGCTCCAGTGGCCTTAATGTTTATATTTTCTTTATTTCTCTAAAATTTAACCTATTTTTAGGCATAGAAAGTCTAATCTCTCTCTCTCTCTCTCTCTCTCTATATATATCTCTCTCTCTCTCTCTCCTTTAGAGATCTGCCCTCTTCTCCTGCGATCGCGATGATGCAGCTTGGATGGCCTATGTCTCTTTGAGGGTAACTGCTGCTTTCATGAGCTTGAGGTTGGGAATTAGTTGGATTTGCTTTTTGATAGAGCAAAGGCAATTCTAATTTTCTATATTGGTTCTAATTTTGTTTATGATTATGCAATAATAATTAAATTATTGAGGATCGTCAATGTGTCATTGGTTGAGAATATGTGCATGCATCTTCGTTTTGATGGAACTAACTCTGAGCCTCTATTCTCCCATTTTTATTTAGTTTTACTCTATATTGGTGCAAGTCATAGATTTCTACTTTCTCATGCAATGGCGATGAAGCGGATTGGACAACATGTGCCTATGATGGCTTATATGAGGATTACTGTTGTTTCCATGATATATTTATGTTTTTAAGATCTAAACTTCAATATTTATATTCGTCTGAAAGATTATATTGGCTTCCTTTATCCAAATTTTTGCTGTTATGAGCTATTTAATGTCAAATATGTTCGGCCAGATGAACAAACCAGAAAGTCTAAGGAACAGCTGTTTTCTAGTTTAATGGTTTATCATAGTTTGTGTTTAGATATGTAAATATATAAAATTTTTGTGATATGCATGGAAATTGCCCAAATTGCTTGTTATGCAGGTTTTTGATGGCCGGAACTTGAAGAATTATCCCCTTATTATTTGGAGTGGTCTTATTTTGTGCAGATTGGACAAAATGGATTTGGAGGCATTTTTCTACAAATGAACAAAATGTGGGACTTCATGGGTAATTACTCATTATTTTGCATATGAATTGAGTTGTATTTTTTTATTGGTTAAATTTTATATTGGACTCGCTTTTTAACATTTGTTTAGGCCTAATTGTGTTGCGCGGTTATTGTGGTAATTGGTTTTCCATGATCTTTTGAATGAATCAATTCCGTGTTCTCCCATTTTTTTCTGTAGGCTTTTATCTGATCTAGGAGGAACCGAGACTCAAAGAGAAGGATTTACACATATATACCAAACAATTCTTATGCATTTGCATCTAGAACACCAAGGGATTTTTCTGACGCATTATGAATTAGGAGTCGGCAAATGTAGCTTATTGACAATCTTCTGATAAGCATCCAGATAAATCCACACACACACACTCTCGCTCTCTGTAGGGGCATTTACATACATAACTTTCAATGCATATTTATGTACATGTCGGAACAAAGTTAAAATAAAAATAAGAAAATAAAAGGATAGAAGTAATTACTAATGATCCCTCAAGGGATTGCCTGTATAACGAGAAAATGTGAAAATATAGCATTATAAATATATTTGATTTATTATTTAATAATATTTGATTAATTAGAATTTATTTAATTATATACTTATTAGTAATATATTTTTATTTAATATTAATATTCATGTAAATTTATTATATGTTTATTTACTTCAATGAATTAATTTATTATTAAATATTTATTTTATTTAATTGTAAAAACGTTATTTATAGTTTATATATTATTTTATTCATTTGTTGTAAATTAACTTATTCAATGCTTTTAAAAAATGTTTTCTATTATTGTTTTTTTAAATTTGTAAATTCATTTGTTTTATTGTTTATAATTTTATATAAAAATTTGGGCGAACTGCAGTGTCATGCGTAAATGGGTAATCCGGTGAGTTTAAACCCTAGCTCATTTTGCATGAGGCGTCTGGAGAAAATGGCTTTCCGTTGATTTCTTTTGAGCCGAATGTTCACCCTGTCTCTGTCTCTCTCTCTTTCAAATTTGGCGATCTCATCACATATTTGATTGTGCTTAGGTTCAGGGATGCATCAACGGTGCTTCAGCATTCGTAATGCCGTTGATTTCTTTGACACGAGCCAAACACGAACACGAATATTTAAATCGAGCCGAACACGAACACAATGTTCACGAGCCGATTTCGAACACGAGCAGATTTCGAACACGAGCTATTTCGAACGAGCCGAACACGAGCCAAGCCTGAGCTCGCTCAAGCTCCGCTCGTTTACAACCCTATTGAGAATGAATCTTTTTACAGAATGATTTTTAGATTTTTAGGCTGTGTTATTCATCTTTTCAAAAATAAAAACAAAGGGATTTACATAGTTTCCATTAAATGCTTATATATTTTTAGTTTACAATTACAACACCCTCGAAACACCAAAGGTGTCATAAACCCTCAAAACACCAAAAAAGGTTGTTTTCCCTCTTCAGTTCTATTGCATTTTTAAAAGTTTTATCTCTATAAATTCCATGAATGTACCTTTAGCTCCCCCTCTTCCTTTAGAAAATTTTCCATGGTGCTTGTGAAATTTTCGGCTTTCCCATGCAATGGTGGAGCATTGGCGGAGCTAAAGAAATTCATCGACACCATTACCCTGTTATAAAGTTCTTTATACCTTCAAGATTCCAATTGGGCCGTTAAAGTGGATTGTGGCTTGCAATTTAGCCGAAGTTTTAATATTGGTTTCTTTCACTTTCTTAAACCTTGCTCTGAATTACCTATATTCATACACTCTCAGTGTTTAGAATACTGGACTGAACATACATTCTCAACTGGTTCGACCATGAACCGACCGGTTGTTCGTTTTGGGCTGGCTTATAAACTGCCACCGCATCGAACCGTGTTGAACCGGTTTGAACCAGCTTTGATGCAGCAAAAACTGGCCGGTTTGATCCTAAAATTGGAAATTTTTTTTTTAACATTTATACCATCAGTTTTATGAAATTTAAATATCTAACTCCTAACTCTATTTTTTACATTTATACCTGCCAAATCATGAAACTTGATGCATTTTGGTTAAGAGATTTACCAAGTTCAACTGCTGGATCATGTTAGTTTTGATTTCAACAAATTTACAGTAAAATTGAGCACCTTGGCGATACAAGTCTAATTACATTGAAAGTGATTCAATTTGAGTCCAACTAAGTTCAGATCAAACATTTGAATAATGGGAAAAAATTTTGGTGTATTAATGGGAATGTCAGATAATCTCTAAATTTGACATACTTATATTCGAACCAAGCGGCTTAACGAAAGAAATCCAGGGAGCCTAAAGATTATTTATTTTTAAGTTGTTTAAGTCTCTTAAATGTTGAAAATGGTATGTGGTTAAAAGAATTAACAGAAAGAGCCCCAAAGATGTACCTCTACTTTTTACATTATAGAGGCTGAACGACCATTGCTTGCTAAGGTTCATGATTTTCTACTTTTGAGAATTTTCTAATACAGAGTCATAGTGACAAAGGCTCAAGTCAGAAAATTTCTAAATCTCAATGCATGTTTAATGATTTTAAAATCCAGTGAAGAAATTCTTAATTTTTTTCAGAATCTCACGTTTACTGTATGGTTCTTGATGTTTAGCTACCAACGCATTTTGCTTCATTTTTTTCTCATTTACCCAGCTGAGATATATGAATTATAAAATGGTTAATTTTTTATCCTGTAACCTGAAGAGTAAAATGTTTCATTGTAATGATTCTTCAAGTGCACGTATTTTTATGAGCAAATTTCGAGATTTTAAGATTTGAGATATTTATGAAGAAACTAATCCTTTGTGGGATAAAGTAACAATTACTATTAAACAAGTGACAAAAGATATACTTTGAGAATCATATGAAAAAGTTTTAATAAATTGAAATAATTGATGGTGGAATATTAATGTGCAAGAAAAGATGAAATATAAGAAATTTTGTTATAAAATTTGGTTGAAATGTAATTGCTTAAATTGGAAAAATATAATATGGCGTGTAGGTAGTCTAAGAGAATTATTTGTGATGCTGAAAATTTTATTTTTAGTAATTTTTATAATAGATTAGATGCTAAAAAGGATAATATATATATAAGAGAGAGAGAAAGAGCTAAACAAATAAAAATAAATGTAAAAATTTAATTCAAGTAAAGTGTCTTAAAGATGAAAAATATAATGTGTTTCCCTTAGATGAAAATTTTCAACATAGGTGGGTGAGATATTTTTATCAAATTTTCAATGAAGTTTTTGAAAATACGATTAATTTTAATAATCTTAATTTTGCTAATTATAAGAAAAAAAATTTTTTTTTCTTGTCGCTGTTGTGGAAAAGAGGTTTGTGAAGGCTTATAAAAAGTCATGGGTGGAAAGAAAATAGAAGATGATGGTGTCCCAATGGAAGTGTTGAAATATTTAAGAGATTTGAGAATTTTTTGTTTTGGTAAACTTGTAAATTTTATTTCAAAAATTTAAAAGATACTTGTGGAGTTGAAGTAGAGTATTTTGGTCCCCATTTTTAAGAATAAAGTTGATGCACAACAGAGTACAAATTATAGAGGAATTAATAGGTTTGCTGGAGTAGTATCGAGAGAGCAAAGAGGATCTAAATATGATTTTTATTGATTTAGAAAAAAACTTATGATAATGTTCCAAGAAAAGTTTTGTGGAGAGTTTTTGAGAAGAAAGGTGTTGATATGACTTCTATTAAAGTTATTAAAGATATGTATGCTAGCGCTGCTACTTGTTCGAATAGAAAGAAGATTGATCAAGTATTTTTCTATTTCAGTTGGATTACATCAGGGATCGACTTTAAGCTCATATCTTTTTGCTTTAGTTATGGTTTCTCTTATTGGACATTTACAGGAGGATGTACCTTAATGTATGTTTTTCGCTGATGATGATCTTCTTAAGATTAAGACTAGAGAAAGAATTTAGGAAAAACTTTAGATTTTGTGGCATAGTTGTATTAATAGGTGCTCAAATCATTAGAAAAACTCTACTTGCGACTCCAATAGTGGTAATGCCTTGCTCAAATTTGGTAATTAGTCAAATTTATATTTATGAATTTCGTGAATCTCTCCCTCTCCCTCTCACTCTCCCTCGCTCTCTGATTAAGTAGATAATTAAATTCAACATCAATGGTAATGTTGTTCCATTCCAAGTTGCTTCAATGACTTGTTTTTCTCGTGCAATGGTAATGTAGCAGCTTGGATGGCTTATGCTTCTGCAGGGAATTGCTGCTTTTATGTGTAATGCTTATACTTAAGGCGAATGCGTGCTTCAGATTTCCCATTTTGTTTCCACTTTTATATATATTTCTAAGTTGCTATATTTTTTACCTGTTTTTGATCTAAATCAAAAACAGGTAAAAAATATAGCAAGATAATGGAGACCCCAAACTTGGACCTCATATGGTATGTCTAAGGCCCCATTTGGGGCAGCTTATTTCGTGCAGTGCGTTTTGAAAGGAAATCGATATTTGGCAGAGCCCAAATATCGATTTCTCATATGCTTTTTGGCCTCATGATGAGAGCCCGCGCCATGCGCCTAAAATTTCAGAGCCTTCGCACGTGGCATTACGTGGTTGGATTCCGCACGCAAGCTTGTATACGTTGCCCGTATGGAATAATTTTTCCGCTATAACATCGATATCAATACCCTCTCAAAGAGTGCGTACGCAGAGCTGCTTACGTCTTACGCATGCAAATTTTTCTTTGCTTCAAGGGTGCTTCAGTGATCGTAATGCTGTTAAGATTTTTCTTTTCTTCTTCTTGCAATGGTTGTGGAACCGCTTGGACGTCCTGTGCATCTGCAGGCAACTTCTGCATTTCTCTTTGTTATGATGATTAAGAAATTAGAGGGTCATCTTCGGGATGGAGCAGAGTTGACTCTTAGCATTCTGCTCACTGTTTTCATTCCTCTTTTTGATTATCCTTGTTAGTTAATTGCTCTTCTATGATGGTATGAATGGTGCTTTTTATCTTCTCCCGGATTTTTTGTAAGGCTTTTTTTAATTCAAGAAGAGGAAATGAAATTAATCTCGGGGGGATTTTTATGCATACTATTAAATTCATACGTATTTACATATCTTACATCTAAACTTTCATATGTACATTTTTCTCACAGCAAATTTTCTGGTATTTCATCAAGAGAACTAACAGTTGTCCAATTTCTTCCCCCCTCCCTCCCTCTATCTCTCTCTCTCTTTATCAATTTATCTGCTTGGAGGGCTTTTGCCTTTTGAGAGTAACTGCTGCTTCTATGAGTCACTGGTTCGTAACAGTAACAAATCTAAGGGGCTGTTTGGTTGCAAGTAGGATTTTGTGCACTTTCGCGGCATGTAAAGAGGTACTCCCCTTAATTGTCATCACTATGAATTGCGAGAATTTATGCATTTCTAGCCTTTATTTTCTCTCTTCTCTCTTTTTATGGACGGTGCGATAATGATGAAATCTATCATGAAAATCAATATTGCCAACTTTATGGCGGAGCAAAAACTTCATTAGATGTTGATTCAGTGGTGTGTGCTATTCTCATACAGTGGCAATGGAGTAGCTTGGATGGCCCGTGCATCTGTTGTGGGTAACCGCTACTTTCATTATCACTAATTGAGAATTGATGATTAGATCTGCATGTTGATTGCTCGAAAACGAATCTGAGCCCATTTATTTTCTAATTGAGGATGGGTGGTATATATGGTGTTCTCTCTTCTCTCTCTCTCTCTTTATATATACATATGTATTATACATCAAAAATATGACCACAAAAATTTTGAGAAAATGCAATGGATCTCGTCAAATGGACATCGATGGATTGCATCTGGATAAGCCAAAAGATTGATACGAGGGAAAGTTAGCTATGCCTGGCTCTTTTGACAGATTCCGGTATTCTTCAGAAAAATAGTGAAAGGGCACCCTCATTTAATGTCTTTCCAATTATCTGAGAAGACTCATCGTCTAAGGAGAGCTGCCCGTTAGGTTAAGATGATACACTCTCTGCCTGATAGTCCAAGTTCACCCTAACGACAAGATTGCCTCTACCGATACTCTCGAGGGGGCTTACCAAAGAATTTTCTTCTGACCGAAGAATTATTGGGCGAACTAATGACAACACCGGGATAGTCTTAAGTTCATCATCATTGAATCCTTTATTGATTCACTCTTCTCAAGCAGTGGGATATAGCACCTTGGATGGCCCAGGTATTTGAGGGTAACCACTGCTTCAACGTGCTTGCTATAGTAAACTTATTGGATGTATGCTGTTTGACGAAATTAAAGTCTAGGTATTATATATGTAAATACATAAGTGTTGAGTTGCTAGTATGTAATACACCCACACACCTACACATTGATAGTGTGAAATCCATCATCATAGGCAATAATTTTGTGGTCCTTCAGAGATTCACGCTTCTCAAGCGGGTGGGGAAATAGCAGCGTGGAAGGCCCATGTGTTTGAGGGCAACTACTGCTTCCCATGAGCAAGCTGAAGTGATGTGGATGCTGGATATATAGGCTGTTTGACAAAATTAAAGTTTAGATTTTAGATATGCAATCGAGTGGTATGTATGTAAATCTTCCTGAATAGGTTTGATGCTTTTTTCCTTTGCTTTCATTCTATTAAATAATAATCTTACAATCTATTTTAGGTACAAAATATTCTGTATAATCTATTTTAACTAACTTAATAATGCATATTGAACTAACTTAATAATGCATAAACTTAATAATGCATATTGATAATCTAAATATTCAGCTAATAGGTAAATAAATCAGAATAAAAAAATTGAAAATAATTTAACTAAAGAATCTCCTGATTTAGCTGCCTGATTTTGGTCATTTTTGATTGAATATATATATATATATATATATAGTATGGCAGTTTTAGCACTTTTATTTGATTGAAATTTTCTTTGTGATTTTCAAGAAATGAATGGAATTAAGCTTTTACAAAAAAGATGCGGTATAGCCGTGATTTCTTCACAAAAGCTCTCTGAATTTCATTAGTTTCTATCACGTTGATTATGCGATGAAGATTAAATTGAACTTTGGAGTTCTTGTCCCTTATCATGATGCTTCAGGGATCTCTGATTTTCCTAAGCAATGGTTATGGTGTAACTGATGCCTTATGAAGCTGAGCACAAGTAGCTTATCGAACACTTGGTTTGTTTGCATCCCTAGGTATTTAATGCAGCCATGCATCTTTGGTAGAGTAGTGGTTAGTTGGTTCTGTTAGAAAATTGAATAAAAGTTTAATCAGCCTCCAATTTCCCAATTTCTTTTTGCACTTTTTTGTATCTTCAGGCTGCCAACAGGAACCGCTCATGAGCTTTGTGATAACACGATTTGGGCGGCTTTTAAGCAGGATTTGATCTGCATCTTTGTGAGCCAGCGAAGGTGACATCTTTAAATCCTACAGAATCCTACATCGTGTTGTCCTCCATTTCGTCTTAAATATGACGGAAATATCATATTCAAAGTATCACTAATGTCTACTTTTATAAAGTTTAGTGCACCTTTATTTGCTTGTGTTCTCATTTTATTATGACTCTAGAATGTTATACTTGTAAATACTACACTTTAGGTGTGAAATGTGTAAATGCGTAAATGTAGGATGGGTTAGATATTTACAAGTATAGGGTTTAGGGTTTACATCAATAAGATTTTAGGGTTTAGGGTTTAGGGTTTAGGGTTTAGGGTTTAGGGTTTAGGGTTTAGGGTTTAGGGTTTAGGGTTTAGGGTTTAGGGTTTAGGGTTTAGGGTTTAGGGTTTAGGGTTTAGGGTTTAGGGTTTAGGGTTTAGGGTTTAGGGTTTAGGGTTTAGGGTTTAGGGTTTAGGGTTTAGGGTTTAGGGTTTAGGGTTTAGGATTTATTTATTAAATAAAACATTCTAGAATAAAACATTCTAGATATATATATATGATTTATTTATTGGTATTTTTTATATTTTTATAACTAAATTTAAATGTGACCATGATATGTGTTTTATTGGTAGAAATGGTTCATGTTGGAATTTAATATCCTTCATTTATTTTTCTAATATCAATTTCGAGGTAAACACATAAGAATATTTAAATCGAGTTGAATACAAATTAACTCTTTATGAGTAATTTTGAATAAGATTTAACGAGCCCATCACAAGTCAAGCCTAAGATTAGGCATACTCGGCTTGTTTACAGCCTGTGTTTTAATTTTCTGCATATTTATACAAATGAACATATTGTTGGTACGTTTGTCTAATTACTAGCTTTGAGGCATATATGGTTATATTTACCTATGTTTGAGATTAATTAAATACATTCAGTTAGCCTTAAGAAGTTTGGATGTTAGATATGTTAATGCATAGAAATTTAGTGGTACGTATGTAAACCTTCTTAAAAATAAATTTCTTGTTGGATCTCGGTTGGATCTCAAGGAATTGTAATGAATTTTACAAGTTTTATGTATATGTATTCCTGAACTTTAGCGGTGTGCATAAATTGATCGTACAGCAAGATTAAAAACTTAACTGATTAGGCATATTGAGAAAGGCTTGCCGCTTCTGCAGAAGCCTTCTTGATCGCTCATCTTTACTTTCAAGCTAACCCTTTGCCTGCACGTCTCTCTGTCTCTATGGACGTTTAGGATAAGGATACTTCTGACGATACTTCTTTGATTGCAATATTGCTAAGCTATTTTTTTGCGATGGCGTCAGCAGCGTAAACGGTCCATGCATTAGGGAATTCACAAACAGTTTGTGTTCTGCTTGTTAAGCAAACGTGCGGAACATGAATACACTTTTTTGTTTTTGAAATATGAACAGATCAAACACGAATAGTGATATTTTTTAACAAGCCCAACATGAGTTGAACCTGGGTTTGCTCGTGTTGTGCTCGTTTACAACCCTATTCACTAGAAATTGATGGAATTATTTGAAAGCTGAAAGATGTTCAAAAGAAATGGAAGCCATAGGCTTAAATTTATTTCTTGATGTTACTGGTGTTTGTTTCTCAGGATGGTCGGCATAGATTTTTAAAAGAAAAATTTTGAAATGTTCCAATTGAATTAATATGACACATCACTTGAGCCTTTATATTGTGCATTCCTACAACAAATGTTTAAGCATGCTTAATCATCCATATTATTGTAGTACTATTTAAACTAAAAAAAGGCGCTAATGCACTTTATTATTCATTCATAAGGGAAATTATTTTATTTAAACATAAATGATTTTTGTTTTGTTTTATTTAATTTGTTATTTTAAATTTAAATTAGAAAAAAATTATGATGAATTCATTTATACATGGAACTGGGGAACAGTTTCGTCAATCTTCAATTACTATTTTTTCCGAAGATGAAGTCCGCAATTATCATGCTCTTCTTTAAGCAGACGGCCCGTGCAAGGAAAACCCTAGCTCATTTGTTTTGTGAGAGAATAGCTCGACCCCCGACTCTGCTGCTGGCCTTCTCCAAGGCATTTCTGCATACGCTGTCCGTATGAAATAATTTTTCCTAATTGGGAAACTATAATGAAATACATCACGGAATGCAAACTTAATCCGGTTTATGAATGCATCCGGACGGTGCTTCAGAGTACTTAGTCATAAGGCTGTCTCTATTAGTCGCTGGTGTTTGGAAAGTGGGAGGATCTGCTTGTTGACAGAGATGAGATTAATCAGGGCCCTCCGACACGCATTTTCCTGTCCTCCATAGGAGGATGAGAAAGATGGGAGTTTCGGTGGACTCTGTAAACCACGATCCCGTCGTTGTCCTCCCAGTTAGCTCTAATGGCGACTGTATGGTGAAGGCTCCAGGCGATGGCTTTCTGTCCTCCATTCTTTTAATTAAACGTTTACGATTTATAGTCATCTCCTCCTACTGGCTTTCATGTTTTTTGGTTTGTAATGTAGGTTTTGCAGTTATTTTTGTGCTTTTGAATGCATGAATTGCATGAGAAAAAAATAATATCTTTGGATTGGAATTTATGACTTTTGACCTCATTGAAAGTTGCTGAAACAAAAAGGGAAAAATATTATTTCAAGCAAAACAACCGTCTTGGGTTTTAATATATGAGGGTGTTACTTGATCCTTGTGAGCACTCATTTGTGATAAAACATGTGATGTAAAGATCTACTCTGATTATTACTTGACATTTATATGAAGATGGCGGTGAAGAGAGGTTCGAGGGAGGGAGTCAGGGTTATGATGAGGATGAGAATGAAGAGGGTGAATGCTATGAAGTGGAGGAATCTGAATCTGAATACGAATCAGACTCAGATGAGGACTAAAATGAGCATTGCTTTTTTCTTATTTTACTTGATAGGAAGCTGGATGATTTGTCATGGGGGAGTTCTGTCCATGTGTGGTATTTTCTGCAGCATTCATGGTCAGTGCATGTAGTGCAGGCGAGCAGCAAGAAAGTATAATTCCTGAACTTTCTCCTGTCATATTTATTAGCTTGTTTTTCTGTGCTTTCTTTTTCCTTCAGGACCCATTCTTTGTCTGCAGTATGTTTTCTAGATTTCGCAGTATGATCTATGTTGTGAGATATACACAAGTTAATGTGGCATATATATAAATTAAATAGGAGAATGATTGATGAAGCGAAAAATAGAACCAGAAAATTCACACCAGAAAACAGTAATACAGCGGAACACAGATTTACGTGGTTCGGTAAATTGCCTACGTCCACGGAGTTGCTGAGTATTTTACTACTTGAGGAATTTACTCTAGTCTATTGTCTTGACTTACAAGAGGAATCTCTCACTTCGTTGCTCTCTGTTCTTCTCTCTCTACACCGAGATACACCGAAGAAGACAAACTTACAAGAGAAATAAACTCAATTTCTCTTCTGTCACAAGCCACCAAGAAGAAGCCAAGGGAGAACAATCTTCTTCTTTTTCTTTCTTCTTCCTTCTGCCGCAAGGAATTACTGCTTGCACTTTCCTTCCTCTATCCCGAGGAAGCCTGAAGAAGATCACCAAAAACCGTGACTTCTATAACTGAAGGAGAGTCGTCCGAAGCCTGTTATCACAAACATGAAGGGAGATGTCGGCACTATTCGCTATAGAGGAGCGGTTCGCGAACAGCAGGGTCGCGTCCCTTTGCGAACGGGAGCGGGAACGGTTTCAAGATCAAGCGGGAGCGGGATTGTGATCTTTCACGATCGGGAGAGCAAGAGCGGGAGGGGGTTCGAACCGGGCTCCAACATAACACGTTTTAAATATCTCGGGTCTATTTTTCAAAGTGATATAATGTTTAACATTAGAATTCAAGTTGGAAAGTTGAGGTGCAGGAGTGTTTCGAGTGTCTTGTGTGATCGAAAAGTTTCCCATATGTTTAAACAAAAAATTTGTTAAGATATTGGTGCAACCTACAATGCTTTATGGCGCAAATTGTTGGCCTGTGGAAGAGAAGCATAAGCTTAAGTGTTTTTGATATGAGAATTCTGATCAGTTGGATGAGTTTCTACACTTAGTGACAAAGCGAAATGATTATAACCGTGAATGGGTTTATGTAGCTCCAGTGACCTTAATGATTATATTTTCTTTATTTCTCTAAATTATGCCTATTTTTAGGCATATAAAGTCTAATCTCTCTCTCTCTCTCTCTCTCTCTCTCTCTCTCTCTCTCTCCTGCAAAGCTTGGATGGCCTATGTCTGTGAGTGTAACTGCTGCTTTCATGAGCTAGAGTTTGGGAATTAGTTGAATTTGCTTTTTGATAGAGCAAAGGAAAATCTAATTTTCTATATTGGTTCTAATTTTCTTTATGATTATGCAATAATGATTAAATTATTGAGGATCTTCAATTTGTCATTGGTTGCCTATGATGGCTTATATGAGGATTACTGATGTTTCCATGATATATTTATGTTTTTAAGATCTAAACTTCAATATTTATATTGTTCTTAAAGATTATATTGGCTTCCTTTATCCAATTTTTTTCTGTTATGAGCCATTTAATGTCAAATATGTTTAGGCCAGATGAACAAACCAGAAAGTCTAAGGAATAGCTGTTTTCTAGTTTAATGGTTTTTTTGTGGCAGCTGATTCATTAGCTTACTAGAAAGTTACTGCAGCTCTGTTTGATTGTCTTTTTTTCCTGCTCTCTAAAATTCAGTGGGGAG